CATGAAATTCTGTAAGATTGCATTTGTTGTAGTTTAGGAGTTTACAAGGGACTTCCATTTGGTATATTTTATGAGCCAAAGTATTTGTTTGGCAAGTACCCCCATTTAGCACTGAAAACAATAATTTATAGCATAATTGCTGCACTGGGATTTACCCCGTACTGTACATTGAACCCCCCTCCATTGAAGGCCATATAACAGCTTTCAAAATACATCATGAGTAAAAACCGGTTCTTGGCAGTGTTTAATGCTGAGTGGGTGGGGAAATTGGAACCGTGCCAAATGTCATCCTATATCAGTGATATACATACGTATATACACAACAATACATTGCGGAACTGCACTGAGTCAGTTGCTTGCTACATGCCGATGAGTCCAGTATTCGGTGTTTACGTTATATAGTAAGGTCATCATGTATTGGTATGTTTAATTGTCGTTATCATTCAACAGCTGGTCGTCTTAACCTTGCATGTATCTTTCTGTAAATCAGAATGTCAATTTATTTCTGTTTTGGATAAAAAAAAATGACTTCAATTTATTTATGTGATCTAGGCACTAGAACATTACAATGAGGTGGTGCAGTGAAGACCAAAAACATGTTATTTCAAATGTATACCTGTGTGTGTGTCCAATGTATGTACAACTTGACAAACAAGATATGGGTAAAATAGTGCTTCAGTTCAGCACCAGGTTGTTATTCATATCGTGACCATCATTTTTTGTTTTCCCATTTCTAATTTATGGGATACTAAAAATGGCACCAATATATAATATCAAGATGTTTCGCAATTTTTTTTAGCCCGGCTGTCAACTTTGTTGAGCGGAGCTTATCATAGGAGTGATTGTCCGTCATATGTCGTCTATGTTAACTTTTTACTTTTTCGACTTCTTCTTGAAAACTACAAGCCTGAATGCTTTGATACTTGGTGTAGATGTACCTTTGGTAGACCTCTCTTAGATTTGTTCATTTCATGATGATATCTTCAATTCTCTAATTTTGGTGAATATTTTTGTTATTTTTAATAAAAAGTGATATTTTCTAATTGCTTTGATATTACATATATAGGTACTACATGTGGACCTCTCATGTGTTCTGATTGCTTTGATATTGTTCATTTTCTAATGATATCTTCAGTTAATAAAATGTGCATTGCTAACAGCGGAGCTATCTCAGGCTGCTTGTTTAATTTTAACAATATTGCTTCATTTTATATATATACACGGTTTTAATAGGATAAGTGATTCCAAATTCTTTCGAGAGTTCCAATTTGGGATCAGCGCGTCAATGTGACTAGCGATAAAATTTGTTGAATTGAAATTAATTTTTACCAACGACACTAAAGAAGTTTACACGATGCCTGTTTAGTTTTATAACCAATAAACCTTGTACAATAAAATTGCATTTGATATAATTTGTTCTGTAGATCTATAGTTAACAATCCTCTATGAGAGTATAATTCATTTTATTTCACTTGACTTTTGTAACCTTGCGTAACCTTGCTATTAATGTGCTCTATAAGGCTACCGGTACCTCGAAACTGTTGAATCTGATTGATTGATGTTATCACATGCATGGAACGTTCGTACATATCTCCACAGTGTGACATACATGTAATGCTAGCCCAATTGAAAATGAATATCATATAGTTTGATGTTGCATACTGCCGAACTTTTTTTTTTCAGTGTACACACTATGTTGTTCAAAGCTTCCGGGTTTGTTTACCTTTGTTATACAGATTGTGATAAAAATGGTTCATTTTGACAAGCTCATAGGTTTATTATTTATTTTTTTGAATTGCATGTTGTTAAGCTGCCACATTAAATCAGTTGAATTAAAAAAAATTCTAGTGAATTCAAGCAACTATGTATCATGAACAAGCAGATTTGCCACACAGCATAGTCAAGGCTCAAAATGGAATACCGCCACAGCGAACTACAAAATGTACATACAGCTTACAATTCCCGTGCAATGATATATATTCATATTTGATGGCATTTTAACAATTGTACCACTGTTTCATCTTACTGGACTGTAGAAATATGTGCATGTGATAACTATATAATCTTTTAGATAAACAGACACTTGTGATTAGCACCAGCTTGCAGCGAAAATTGATACAAAATAGTTACAGTATACCCAAATTCAGCCAATTGAATAATTTCACAAAATAGGAATGATTTTGGGGGCATCTTTAATTACCATGAATACGGGGCAAATCATCAGTGTTGTCATAGTTACATCTAGATTTCTCTTACCCGGTATATCGAGACACAGGAACATCTTTAAACTAAAACAAGTTTTGTTCAAGTGTACTAAACAAAGAATTCAGTAAAAACATATATCTAATGAACTATTAACACCTAAACTATGAAGCGTAGAATTTAAGTGTTTATTTCATTAACAGTACATTTCTATTTTTCTTCTCTTATTTCAGGAAAACGATGTCGGAATGTGACTGCGAAGGATCTCCTGATTCCCTACAAGAACTTTGCTTAGATTACATATCTCATAACTTGTACAGTTTGTGCACTCAGATCCCCAGTGAGGATAAATCTGGATTCGTGAAGTTATCCTTCAAGGACTGTGATATTTACTTCCACCGTGAACTCTCCGAAGAGTTGCTACAAAGGCTCAGCAAACAGTATGCCTTGAATGACGCGGTGCTCTCTCTTTTCGCAAATCCCAAGTCAACAAGGCTGAAGCGTGCATTCATTAAGAATGCTGTTCTGTCATACAAAGGATTGAAAGCGTTGTCTTGTCATCGGATAATTGACCTTGATGCATCCTGGGTGCGTGGCGTCACTGTCAATGATATCATTGGTGCTCTCGGTGAATGGACGACCGGACATTTGCAGTCGTTGAACGTCAGCGGTACTACGTTCGTCAACAGTTCTAAGTTTTGCATTGTAATTTCACTGTCTATGCTTAAAGCCTTACGCCATTTGAATGTCAGTTATACTGAGTTTAACAATAACTTAGGACTTGAGTTGGTCATAGACAGCCTTTGCCATTTGGAGAGCTTGGACATCTCGCACACTCCCATTGTGAATGCAACCCCACTAATACAGTGCAGAGATCGACTCAAATATCTAAGTATGTTTCAAGTACGGGTCTCTGACGATAACCTAATGCCGGTTATCACACAACTGGACAACCTGCTGCATCTGGATATTTCCCGAGAGGTTCTCGTACATCCATTCACCGGGAACCAGCAATCAGGGAAGTTTAATCTCTCAAGGCTCATGGAGATGGAAGATGTCTTGCCAAACATCACGTATCTCGATATCTCAGGGAGAGACGGTCTCATGGAAAGATCGCTACAAACATTTCTGCGTAACCATCCAGGGTTGAAGTTTCTTGGTTTGTTACTCACAAAGAGCGTGGTGCCAGAGACACTTGCCATGACAGATCTGTGCGCTGCGGAGTGTTTGACTAATCCCAATCACAATGAATTCAGAGAAGACTTGAAGGTAAGAATCATCGTACTCTTTGTCATAGCTTTCCGGGCAATTCAAAATAAAAATGCCAAACCTAATCGATGGCAGAAGCACTTGTCCTAATCAGGATGTCATGTTTACAACATATTTATTTTAGATTTTTAATAAATTGAGTGGGGAGGTTTTTGTGAACACTATTTTATGCAACTCATCGCTTTGCCTATGCCAAGTGATTGAAACTAATTTGTCACAGGGACTGTAAATTTCTGCAAAAAAGTCTGCTGTCTCAGCTAGACATACGCTCGTCTGTGACAAGTAATGTCATCACCTGCTTTTAGAAAAAGCATGTTACAGTCGCCTTGCAATGTATTTGATATCATATGGGTCACATGTGGCACAATACAATGCTTGAAATGTACATTGTTTATTTACATGACATGTGATGCTTGGATCCTTATGTGGTGAAATACATTGAGCTGACAAGATTAGGGTTAAACCAAACTTGCTTCAAACTTGACTAGCTTCAACATCTAACAAAATATTAATATATATATATATATATATATATATATATATATTGGATTATGTACTAATCTAATATTCCAACTTTACCCTGGGTGAGCATACTACTTTAATATTCAGTTATGTTAACCATTCCCTGTGATTCATTCATTTACCGATTTGGACTTGAAAGTTGTAGAGGGCATCCATTTTCAAAGCAAAATTTGATAAAATTGACCTACCTACCGCTATACATGAGTACATGTACACATTGCAGGGTCTTCTATTTTCAGTGAAAAAAGCTAAACCGCATAATCAATTTTAATTCATTTACCATATTCCACATGATGTGATCAAGAAACTACATTAATAATGACTGCAATACTGATGGAAAGAACTCAATGTACTAGTCATATGGTATTCCCTACGTCGTTCAGGTGGCCAAATTTAGGAAGTAGATGGCAAAACGAGTCAGACATGACATCTATTTTGCCATCTGTTGCCTCACTTCTGCATGTAGTACGTGACTAAAGCAGGAGTCTAGCCTTGACAGACTGTTCAAGAAAATCTAATCGTATAATATCACTTGGGGTGAATACGCTTCTCTCTGATTATTCACTGCACTGCTATTGTTTAATTAATACCTGTCTTTCCAAACCAGTTTCAATAAAAATATTTCACGACTGAGACTATTTTTATTTTGACTGCCTTGTTTGCTTGATGATCTGTCTCCTGTCGTGACTTGCCAATCACGCATACCCAACCACTACTGCAGTTCATATTTTTTAACTCAAAGTATAAATTTTTTTGGGGGAAAATCCCACTTTTTTTATAATGACTCATAATACTGAAACTCACTGTATAAACTGTGCAGTAAAAATAGCCTCCTTCTATTGAATTCTTGGCTGTGCTAAAATTAGTTTTGTGATTCATTTACTGAATGTACCGGAACATATATCACTTACACTTCTGGAAAAATTGTCAGTTCATATCTGTTTGGAGTTGTTTTTATGACACAGACACTTATATGTAGTATGTATGCATTTGCTGTAGCAGAGTGCGCAGATCTATTTATTTATTTTTTGAAATTCATGCATATTAATTTCTCTATTTGCATAATTTTCATCAGATCAGAAGTAAATTGAACTACATTTTAATAACAATAGTAGTATAGTAATAAGGGTCAAACTAAATGTGTATAATAATTAGTATAATACAGTAAAAAACATCTTTTTGAAATGCATTTCCTAACCTTTTCGCCTATTATCACTAACTTTTTGTCACTGGAGTGATTTGCATCCCAATTTTTGGTTCCCCCAAGCGTCTCTAATAAATAACTTATCTAACCGCCGGATTAAATTCTTGTTCTGTTAGAGAATCCATAAATTTATATTATTTCAAATGTCTAATATCTCAAAATGTTATATCATTATGATATAATGTGGGTTTTTTTTTGGAATTAATAGTGAAGTAAATTCCAAGAACCACACAGCTGAAATTCAATAAAACTATGCGAGTATATGTACATGTACAATGTAGGTATTCAGGAAAAAAACAAAAAGAGTTCCTGTTCAATTTATTTTATAAAATGGTTGTGAGTGGGCGGCTTTTTATTTTTATTCCAAAATTGTCATTAAATTTGTGATTTATAATGAAAACAGCATATAACTAGGCTTCAGGTTTTTGTTATTATATTGTTTCTTATTCTTCTTTCATTTTTTTTCAAAACTCTTCCCATTTGACCTGAAACTTTAGGAATACACTGTACTGTGTAATTCTCTAAAAATAGAACTTGTCAGATTTCCCATATGTAATGTCAACCAGTCTCCATATTGAATTTTGTAGAACGCGGAAGTGCTTTATTAGGGGGGGGGGGGATCTATGAATGCAGAAAAGTAACTACTGTAAAATGACTAATTTTCACTGGGTTTAAATTTCGCTGATTTAACATTTCAGGCATATTCAGTGGGTTTTAAATTCACAGTTTTATCAATTAGATAATGTGTTCTATGCTATATTTTACATATTCACTGGGTTTTAATTTAGCGCATTTTCCAGTCAGCGAAATAAGCAAAATTAAAACCCAGTGAATAATTAATCCCTTTACAGTATAACACATGTGCACTAATATTCATGGGGAAAAAACTTTAGTGGGTCATGTGACCTCATTAATATGCGTATCTGCAATATCTCTAGAACTGTTGCAGATACTGAGATAGAGACATGCAGACAGTGCTACAGTAAAGATATGAAACGAGAGATAAGAGTCATATATGAGATGATCATATATGGTCATGTGACCCCAGTAATGTTCATAACGTCAAGCACTTTAGCAGATAAGAACAGATATTATAGATATTACTCGCATATAAGATGATTGTAAATGGTCATGTGACCTCATTAATATTAAATGTAACATCTCCAACACTGTTGCAGATACACAATAGGCACATGCAACTATTGGTATGATGAAGACTGCAGACAATATATACATGTATATTCATATATGACCATGTGACCTCATTAATATGCATTTCTGTAATATTTTAGGCACTACTGCAGTCATGGATATGCATTTAGTGCTATATATGGTCATGTGACCTCATTAATACGCAAAATGTAATGTTTCAAACACTGGTGTAGAAAAGGACGTTACCTGTGATACAATGAAGCCATTTGAAAAAAGATGTGACTAACATATTATTACCATATATGGCCACATCACCTCATTAATATTCACAACTGTAATATTTGAAGCACCGTTGTAGATAGGGGCATGCAACCAGTGCTGTACCATTCTAACTGTGACCAGTTTACCATACTATGACCAGTCAGCCACATTGTAATTCCTTTACAGTGTGTTAATAACAATTCTTTCAATTCAACCTCAATGTAATCAGTCTATTCTTGTACAAGATAAAATAAATATTATGCACATGAAATAACTTCACTGGTCATGTACTTTTATAACCATATTGGATTTCAAAAATCTTCAACAAACTTTTTTAAATACAGCCTTGGCCGTTAATTCTCGTTGACAGTCAATTCACGTACATGTCTGTTTTGCCGCATTAGAAGCCTGGCAGAAATCTATTATGCATACCCTGGTAAACACCGTCAGAATTTTAATTCTGAAACAAAAAGATGTGACACACACATTTTAACAGACATGCACAGAGACCAAAAACAAGAAATCAATATCTTTTTGGACTAAAAATGTACATTTTATTAAAATTAATCATTTTTCTTCCAAACCCTCACCCCTGTATAAACCTGGCGCTGCAAAACATTTTCCATACAAAGGTTGGTGACAGTTTCTCAGTGACTAGTCGACAAGTAGTCACGATTTGTAAAAAGAACTATTCTGTAACGCTGAATGAACCCAAAACTGAAACCATGAAATTTACAAAACACGGCAATGCAAACAAAATACTGTGTGTTGTTTCTATTTTTATCACTTCTATATTTCTAACGGATTTCCCTTTGGTTTCCAATCCCCTTACAATAGATTGTTCTATGAATATTATACATGTACATGTATGTCAATCAGGTTACTTGTTGATCTCTTGAACCCAAAATAAAGATTATAGTCTTGCCAATAGGTTCTTTTTACTTTATAGTAAATTTAAAGTATTTTTTCACTACTACTACTACATGTCATGACAGAATTTTTCTCTGAACAAACTTGAGTGTTATGTTCTGTGCAACTAGCAAATTCTGATCAAGGTCGGATTCTTCTCAAAACCAACAAACGCCATGATTACACTATACTTCCACAATGGCAGACATGTTTGTCACATACTGCCAAACTTTTTTTCATTGTACATGCTACCAGAAGGTTGTCTGTCATTTCCTGGTTTTTATATAGTCTAAATAACTACATGTATGGTTTATTTGCAGTATTATTGTTCAGTTGCTCCAAAAAATTGATTGTAATTAATAAAATCTTATAGATGCTTGTAGCAAATATAACGAACAATCAGAATCCCACCTAATGTCGCAGGATGTTTGCATGAAATAGAAACAATGTCGCGGAAACAAAGTTAGCATATTAGGCACGTAGTGTTACCTTCGTAGTTGTCGTTAATTAAGCACTACATAGTTCCTCATTTAACACTTAACAGCGATTTGCTTTTTCAGACTGTTGAACTATACGTATGATAAATATATAATCTCTCAATATTTTCTCTTAGTTTGACGTAAGCAGGCACTTGTGATTACCGCCAGAGTGTTATCAATTATATTATTACAAAACTTGAGCAGTAATCACTTGTGTCTGCTGACGTCAACCTTAAAGGTAATATCGTGGGATTATACATAAGTATACCTACGGACAGTACATGGTCGCATTGTCCTAGATACTCTTGCTCTACGGTCTTTATAATTTGTATATGCATGTACATGTAGCATTAACCTCAGAACAAATATTATATTATTAGAAAAGTTAATAATTTTTTGAAAAAAGTTGTTCAGATTTAAGTACTACAATTTTTCGTTTTCAATCCCATTACTTACAAATAATAATATTTTTGGATGTCTACACTGTCTGACATTTATACGTTTATCAATCCCAATACATCATACAAATATTTATGAAACATAATGATATATCTTTAATACTGGAAATGCTAGCTGTGACCACATTGAATTTTTTTCATTTCAAAAGTTGAATATAAATTCTGGTGCTGTGATGAGATTATTTATTTTCTTCGACTTGCACCGAAGAAATCCTATTATAAACTAAATAACAAATAGTCAGTGAACAGAATAATTGTGTTATGTGTCAAATACACAAATTGGAGGAAAGTATGTTTGTTTCATTTATGAAATTATTAGTATGTTTCACTAGTCTAAGAATTTCATAACTTTTAACCTTTTTACCACCAGTTCCCTCTTTTCATTATGTGTGTTGGCTCCAAAATTAGTGTTCAATTCCAGAAATATTAAAGAATGTAAGAAAAAAAGTGCAGAAAAATTTTGGCGAGAAAGTCTTGTGGTGAAAAGGTTAATGTCAAAATGAATTGCATGATATGAAATTTCAAGATTTATTTATATTACAACATTAAATTTGTACATGTACAACAATAATGGTAAAATTGTTTGAAGTTTTAAATACAACATTTTTGTATTTTTCATCTTCATCCTTCGAGATTGGATTGAAACGTTTTGAGATTTCGTGATTACCAGTGTTTTAGTCACTTGAGCAAACAGATATCTTGGCTTTATGTTACGTAAAAAATGTAGTTATATCATGCCCTGCAGGATTGAGGCATTAATAACTTGAGGTTCAGCAGTCTGGGAAAATAACTGGAAAGCTGACTGGAATTCTAGAAATTAATTTCATAAATTTGTTGTAAATATAAATGATCAAATTATTCATTGAAAAAATTTGATACTCATTTAGTATTGTATAATAAGAGACATGTCTGATGGATATGGCTGGTGGGCATGATGAGTCTTATTGCATGTCATTAACCGTACAAATGTGTGTACTTGTCTTGCCAAATTGCAGCCCTTCTACTGTGCATGAAGATGCAATATTACAGTCCCTCTATCATAGATACAAAACCGAATATTTTTTAAAACAAGAATATTGTGTGTTTGTAAATTACTATTATCTTGTGTGCAACCACACTGCTTCAGATTAATTTCATGTGTTTTAAATGATATGGCAACTAGGTCTGGCAGTGGTCTGGCTTCTCTGGCAGTGGTCTGGCTTCTCTGGCAGTGGTCTGGCTTCTCTGGCAGTGGTCTGGCTTCTCTGGCAGTGGTCTGGCTTCTCTGGCAGTGGACTGACTTCTCTGGCAGTGGTCTGACTTCTCTGGCAGTGGTCTGACTTCTCTGCCAGTGGTCTGACTTCTCTGCCAGTGGTCTGACTCCTCTGGCAGTGGTCTGACTCCTCTGGCCGTGGTCTGACTCCTCTGGCAGTGGTCTGACTCCTCTGGCAGTGGTCTGGCTTCTCTGGCAGTGGTCTGGCTTCTCTGGCAGTGGTCTGGCTTCTCTGGCAGTGGTCTGGCTTCTTTGGCAGTGGTCTGACTTCTCTGGCAGTGGTCTGACTTCTCTGGCAGTGGTCTGGCAGTGGTCTGGCTTCTCTGGCAGTGGACTGACTTCTCTGGCAGTGGTCTGACTTCTCTGGCAGTGGTCTGACTTCTCTGCCAGTGGTCTGACTTCTCTGCCAGTGGTCTGACTTCTCTGCCAGTGGTCTGACTCCTCTGGCAGTGGTCTGACTCCTCTGGCAGTGGTCTGACTCCTCTGGCAGTGGTCTGGCTCCTCTGGCAGTGGTCTGGCTTCTTTGGCAGTGGTCTGACTTCTCTGGCAGTGGTCTGACTGCTCTGCTCTGACAACTCTGGCAGTGGTCTGGCTGCTCTGCTCTGACAACTCTGTCAGCGATGTAGTAAGTCCGCCCTGCCGCTGTACATGCAGCTGTAGTCTGTCAGTTTATCAGTGGTCTACTATGGTACATGCAGTATCTAGGTCATTGACGATTACAGCTTTTGTAAAATAAAAATAAGTCTTATTATAGTCAGTCTATTATAATTATTATTAATGTTGTGATCACATGTAATGAGACTTGTATTAACATAATTATTGAATACATAAATATTGCAGTGCATATATGTCTCCTAGATGTGATCATAACTGTCACTTCAAATATCTATGTGTGCAATATAATAATATAACCACAACAAATGTGTACTATGGAGTATGAAGCTCAAAATATCAATTTATCTTGAAAGATGATCTCTGTTTGATTTTGTAGATTACTGGTGAAACCAATGAGAAACAGATTCTGGAGGCTCTACGTCGGTACAGCAGTCGTGCTAATTACATGCATAAGACTTTATGTACATTGTTTGACATGACCCAGAGTTTGGAGAAAGCCAGAGTAGATATGGTACAGGTAAGAAACAAATACCGGTACACTTTATTACGTAAAACTTTCATCAGGCTGTGGTTCATTGAAGATTCCAGAAAGGGCTTCTGTTAAACTTTTTATGATGGCTTATTTGTTTATTTTATTTTATTTTTTTATCAACAACGTTTTTGTTTTTTCTACAAAGGTCAATGTGAAAACTTTTTTTACTCTCAAATTAACCAAGGCACAGTTACAAAAAGCTCACCCCTCAATGGTACTTCGGTTTCTTTGGTTTCTTGAAAAAGTTAAGGATATTCACTTTTTCACCATCGTTGCTAGTCTGTCATTGTGCGATAGTCTTAACACTGCTTTCTGTTCTATAGTGTTTTTAACTTGCTGAATTATATAAAATGATGATCGTCTATTTCTCACAGTACCAGTATATTTAATCCAAGACACACATACTAAGTATCGGAAGTATATTTTGTGATTTCGTATTTATTAGCACTGGCAGAGTTTTGAGATTAGCTATTGCCACTGTGCTGGTGTTTATTTTCCTTTCATTATTTCAGTATTTCGACAGAAATCAAACAAAAAAAAAGTTTTATTCCTTTTCGAAATGACATTCACTCTGACAAAACATTTATTTTAGGGGCTCTCATCTGTATTGCTGCTGTTTTTTTCTCTAATCAGACTTACAAAATAGTATATCGATAATTTTTTTAGGTTTTTAAAATCGGCAATCATGTGGAACACAGAATTGTGTGGTTTTAGCATAATTGTACATGTGTACAAGTATACTGACTATATTACAAGGGAATGTTTATCCGTTTGTTGTCCCATGTGGCAGGTTGACATTTGAGATGAGATTGTCATTCACCTTCTGTGTTTTACACAATGGACTCTTCATTGATTCCAGTGACGTCATTACTACTTCCCACTCTCACCAGTTTATGCTGTAATGGGATTGAGTAATAAATAGCTTGTAATAAAATAAATGGATGGGGAACTCTGGGGAGAATTGTTTGTAGTTAAAAAAAAAAGTTGAGGTGTGGGAGTGTCTTGCATTACTATGTCAGCGCTGTGACCAGTATATTTTGTATTGGCTGTTTTTCTGAAGTGAATAAAATGCATTAAATTCACAGCAAATTGTTGGATTTGTTTATTTGTGGTTTAAAAAATAATTTTCTACTTTTGTCACCTTCCAACAAATAATCTAACATTTTTTTCATTATTTTTTTTTTTATTTCGATAAAGATTCTGTAGTCAATGTAGAAATTATGTTGATTTGGTTGAAAATTAAAGAATAAATATACAGAATAATACACAAAAATGTACAAAATGCTTAGCCAAAAATTTGGACGGGAAAATGATAGCGTTAATTATACCACAGTAGTAAAATTTAGTAAAAGTTGTTGGGTTAAGTTCAAAGTGAGACATGAATCAGGTATTTGACAAGCACATCTTCCTGAGAAATGGCCCCCTTAGTTTAAGTGAAAAAAGCTCTGTTATTGACATGCAATGATAATAAACACCAGTGAATATAACATAAATTAGATGTCAGTGAAAGCCAATAAAAATACACAAAGCAATAAGACGCAGTCATTAACTATTATGACATAGTTTGAAGGTCCACCTGAAGGTTGCATGGAGGTGTGTAACCTGTGTGTGTAAGCTTTCAATACAGTAGAAGCACTATTTTTCACTAGTATTTACTGTCACCAGCATATTGGCATGATACAGCAACACTGCGAGCATTTGCTGATGTACATCTCGAGATTGCTATGTGATTATAGAACAATTTGGGTCAAACCAACTTTTGGAACCTATGTTCTGAACTATGTGACGATGACTGTAATCTCGCTGTTTTGTTAATTAAACTGTATTCACAGGATTTTTAAAATCATGGATTTCCTAGTGAAACTATGAGCTTTATTGATTGAAATGTCAATTCAGCAGATTTCACTTGTCAGCAAAGTCAAACCTGTTTACAGTACAGTACCGATATCTGCTTTGAACTGCTTTTGGGATAACAAGGACACATATCTGGGTCATTTGATAGTTACTAGCTTGTTGTGATCTACTTTCTGCAATAAACTGTGAAAAACAATTTATCAGTGATATGGGATAAACAAACAAACATTAAAGTACATGTGTGCTACTATAGTTCCTGACAGTGTAATAAAGTTTCTGTTTTAATTACCGGTATACTAATTGTGAATATGCAATATACCTTTTGATACAGAGGTTTTCTGAAGTGTTACTTACTAACTTATTCCTTGCGACTGCTTAATTAAAAGTCTGAAAAAAAAAATGTGGGGCTACCGGAACTAGTTTCTGAATTCTGATAATCAGCAGTATACATTTAATTTACACCAATATTCAATTGAAAGTGACCCCATCATTTCCATGGAAACGATCTTTGTGATTTACTTTTTGGAAACTTTATTTTCCACCATTTTACTCTATTAACTCTCGACGACGTGTGAAAGTGGGATGGATGCATGTAACTATATTTTAACTATTAGCCATTCATATATAATTAGTTGAATATACTTTTACAGGTTCAGGACTATTGTATGTCGACCATGAACTTCTGACTTTTGGGTCATCCCAAGGTCAGGTCAACAGAAAATAAAAATAAGTTGCATAGCTTAGATAGGATAGATATGATAAGATAAAATTGTTATTACATCTGTATGGAGATGTTGAAGAAAATATTGACATTTGTGTTGAACATTTTGAGTACCATGATTTTTCCCATTAAAATGTTGGTGTGACATTTCTCCTGTTGCTCGAAGGGTTAATGCTGCAGTAGTCATGCAGCCCACATTCATTTTTTGTGGAAAAAAAATAATGCAATAAATTACTTCCTGGATGTTTTGACCCCTTATTCTATGTGCAGTATTTTTTAATAAAACATACTACCGGTACTTAAAGCGGGGGTGTCGTCTTCTGCGCATGTGTCAGTTGGCCAAAGTGTGTAATTGTTTACAAACAAGCATCTACCCATGAGCCTTTGTCTTTTTAGCGTGTGTTGTTATCGTCGCTTGGGATCAATTCCTGCGCATGTGCAGGTGACAACTCTCCCGCTTTAATTAATTTTTTGATTGTTTATATTTGACTCCCATGTGCGAAGCACAAAATGGGAGTCTTTGCAGTTAGTGTGTCTGTATGTGTGTGTGTATGTGTGTATGTGTGTATGTGTGTATGTGTGTATGTGTGTGTGTGTGTATGTGTGTCCGACTGTTCCACTGCTATCTCAAGAACCATACATCGGTTTTTGATGAAACTTGGTGCATAGATGCTCTGGGCCAATGCGCAGATTTGATTAGGTTTTGGTAAAAATCCATGCTCGTTAATTACCTAATTTGCATGATAATTAAGCTAATTTTTAAGCTGTTCTATGACTGTTCCACTGATATCTAAAGAACCACTCATTGGATTTTGATGAAACTTGGTACATAGATGCTCTGAACATATGCGCAGATTTGATTAATTTTTGGTAAAAATCCGTGCATATTAATTACTTAATTTGCATGATAATTAGCTATTTTTTAGTGGTTCCATGACTGTTCCACTGATATCTAAACACCCACTCATTGGAATTTTGATGAAAT